CTCCAAAGAAGTAGTTGACATAAGACATAAGAGCTCCTTTATGATTTTACTTAAGTCTAAATATATCATAAGCAACTCTCAAAAAAATACCTACAAAATTCAAAAGGGGTAATATCACAAAATACCTTCTCCATGAAATAGGTTGGCAAATAATAGCCACTATTTGCTTGTGTTGTACTATTCTTTTGAAGATCTCTCAGCTTTCTTTTGAAACTTTCTCCATGACCTCTCATTTCGATACATGGAGACTCTTCATTTTTACCTTTCACAACCATCTTCTGGCAACTTTTTGACTGGTACAACCAGGGGGGTATTATGCATGTACAGATAGCGCATTCTATGGCTAGCACACAGTTAAGAAATAAGTCTAAAGGCACACAGGCCAAGGATCCGATCCAGCTGAATCACTGTAATCTTAAGCTTTGTAATCTTGAGAAAACCAGCCACTTAATCTCTCTGAACAGCCATCTTCTCTCTTTAAAAATGCAGAGAATTTAAGTACCTTGAAAAGTAAATGAGAACATGCACCTATAGAAATTAGCACAGCATATGGCACATACAAGCATTTCTTTAATAATAGTAATGATTATTAAGGAGCTCTGGTGGCGTAGTGTCTAAGGCATCTGACTACTAACCCAAAGGCTGACAGTTCAAACTCACCAGCCACTCCTTAGGAAAATAATAATAATAATAATGAAGTGGGATAAACTATTCATCTTCACATTCTTTCCATACAAGAGGCCTTAACTCATGTAAGCTCATTATTAGAAAATCCTTTGGCTGTGACTATTGTAATTGCTAATTCTAAACTAATGAAATATAGTACTTGATTAAGAAGATCTGGTGGCTCAGTGCCTAAGGCATTTGCCTGCTAACTAGAAGGTTGGTGGTTCAAACCCACCAGCTGCTCTGCCAAAGGAAGATGGGGCAATCAACTTCTGTAAAGGTTTACTGCCTCAGAAACCCAATGGGGGTCACGATGAGTCGACTGCTAAGTGAAAGGTTGGTGTTTTGAACCCACCTAGAGGCACCTCAGAAGAAAGGCCTGGGGATCTGCTTTCAAAAAGTCACAGCCTCAAAAATCCGATGGAGCACACAGTTCTACTTTGCACACGTGGGTTTGACGTGAATCAGACTTGACTCCACAGCAGCTGGTTGGTTTTGGTTTTAATGTTCTCTCAAGCAACTTTCATAACTGCCCCAGGCTCAAAGGGAAACGCATAAAAATGATGGACATGGTCTTCACCTTTACAGACTAGCAGTTAGACAAAATCTAAAGGCTACTTCACCTCCAGCTTGCCCATAGGCTTTATTATTCAAATTTGTTACATTCTTCCATTTGCTGACTACATTCTAAACAACTATTCCTTTCAAATTATATGGCATATAAAGGACCTGAATTCCCATCTTATTAGGGTGCTAGAATCCTCTATAAGGTCCAGTAGAACATAATCAGACGTCTTTTCCAATAAATATCCAAGTGCTTAAGAGTCCATTTCTTGTTCCGTCTATTATAATGTAATTTTGAAGGAATCATAATGCTGTTAAGGCTCTGCTACTGGCTTTTTAAATCTCACGTTCAAGTCTGAATGTTAAAAATTGAATGTGTTAGCCTTCAGGTGTGCTTACCACAATAAAATAGGATCATATATAAATACCTCAGGCCAAAAGAATATCATCTCCCTTTATCCCAGGCCTACTGTTGCCCTCAGCACAGACAATCAAATTGAAGTCAGTGACTAGTTTTCCATCAGTCAAATATTAAGTCAGAAAAGGTTAATAATGGATTGAATTGCTTTTCTACCTTTTTTTTCCCCCCTTCTGGGATAAGTTGGAGGTAGGATGCCTTCCAGACTCTCTTGAGTTTTCTTTACTGTTAAGAGAATGTTGGTGCCAAATGGAAGCTGCCGTAACTGTTCCTTTTTTGATCCCTTATGTCTTTCTCCTGCCCCTTTAACCATAAGAGTGATTCTCCTTTGGACCTTTGAAAAACCTCCTCCTCCCATTTTTATAGGGAGCTCTGGTGGCACAGTGCCTAAGGCACTTGACTGCTAACCAGAAGATTGGCAATTCAAACCCATCAGCCACTCTGCAGAGGGAAGATGGGGCAATCTACTTCATTAAAGAATTACCCCCTCAGGGACTAGGTTTGCTGGTCTGATAGAGCCTGGTGGAACCACTGAGACTATGGCCCCTAACTGCCCTTCAGGTCTGGAATTGAACCCACACC